TCCTGTTGCTCAGTCTTTAGTTTTCTATGTTATGTTTTATGTACTGCTGTTTGTGTTTTCGGCGTTTTCGTTTTTTGCCATGGTATTGTCAGTTTGTTTTGATTTGTGAGTTTGAATATCCCTTTGGTATCTTTCGCCTCTCTTTTAAAATGTTCATTCGACGGGTGTAAAACCATGATAACTAAAGAAGGGTCTGAATTGGATTGCAATTAGATCCCGCATTTGGACCCAAGTCATGAAAAATATGAGGTTTACGCCACTGCACAGCACCTACATTTAATGTTGTCAATATTCAAAGAAGTCGTTAAGTTTGATAATATCTATTCTTGCCAATAGTAGTTTTAACAGTAGACAGGTTGTTCAGAGACAAAATGTGTTAAAATCCATAACAAACTATTAATTGACTGTTTTCGCGCAGTAACATGAATTTAGGTATGATCAGTACTATTGTACAATCTCCTTTTCACTGTCATGAAAATCATGTAAAACAATTTTCTACCAACATAACCAAGAATGTAGCACTTTTTCTCCATGTCGACAGCCAGTCAGTATCAATCAATCTTCAAATCATATAGACACGTGTTAAATCTGCAATGACAACTTCAACTTACACAACAGTATAGATAAAGGTTTTGCATTATACCAATGTATTTAGATCATGCATTGAACTTTAACTATATCTGAGCTAAGTATAAACTTATGTGTCTGAAGAAACATGTATATATGCCTTTTTTTTTATTGAATTTCATCAACTACTACCAGAAAACTGACGATCCCATTTTCAAAATAGGACTGTCAAACTCCTTGTGAAAATTATATGGAGGACACTATGCAAAATTAAACACAAAATGACAAAAAAAAATGATCGAAGATGACTCCATTTTAATTTTTACCACAGTTATGATGGTCAAATGATTATTAGACATTTTCTATATTGATTGTGTGACTTCAAACTTTTATAACTGTGGGATTTTCTTTTTCGTGTAATATTACAGCAGATTCCATTGAGTGTGTAGCCAAAGGTAATATCTTTGGTTAGCTTGCTTGTTAGCTAAACCGTGAAGTCATTATTAGGTCAAGTATACTACCCTCCTTTCGAAGTAGCATAGTCCAACAGACAGATCGATTGGTTTTCTGTCGGACTAGTCTATTCTTAAAGTAGGGTAGTTTACCTAACCTAACAATGACTTCACGGTTCAGCTAACAAGCAAGCTAACCAAAGATATTACCTTTGGCTACACACTCAATGAAATCTGCTGTAACATATGTTATGATGTTGATTTTCATTGATGTTCTAGCGAGCATATCCGTCGTCATCTGTGAAACGGATATTCCATAAAGGTAGACAAACTCGAGATTGAGTCCGTAAAATTTTTGAAGTGATGACTTCAACTTTACCACTTGGAACTCTTGGTTTAATAGCTTCTTTGTAAGCAGCAACCGTTTAGCAAGGCATTCATGATAGAAGATGCAAGCTCTTGAATATCGTATCAACTGGGTAATATATACTCCATATGGGGGCTCTGTTGTAATGTGGCTACATAGAATTGGGAAGCTAAAATCATCTCCTTTGTTGTTAAGTTTTGTTCTCAAACGAAACCTATTGTCAATTTCTATATGTAAGTCAAGATATGAGGCAGCCTTAACTGTATATGTATCCTTTGTTCAACGATGCGTTCATTGAAGTCGAAAAGTTTTGAATTATTTGGTGAGAGGGCAGCATCTATATATAGCGGAACGTGAAATTAAGGGATAATACTAGTTTCTTTTCATTCTTCCTTAGAAGCATCCGTATGAAATCTGCCACGTATGAAAAAGGAATAAGTCGGCAAGAAGAGAAGCACAGTCGGTTTCCAAAGGGAATGCTGATTGCTTGTTGAAAAACACGTCATCTGAACGTAACAATTATTTGTCAATCAAGAAATCAAGCATCTTTGTATTGTCAGTTTCCGTGATTTTTTTGTGTGAATCAAGAGTGGTTTTTTTTACAAAGAACGATATGTATCCCTCCTTTAGAAAAGATATTTGTATCTACGTTGGTCATACGTTTTTATGAGACGAAGCAGGACAAAATAAAGGAATATTTAAATCATATTTAAAGAAAGACGGGTGCATAGACAATGAAAAAAAATCAAGCTTAAAAGATCGGCTTTAAAGTAGTTTCGTTGAAAATATGAAAATATTGATTGATTGTTATTTGGTTTACTTTAAATTGAAAATATTTCATGCAAATTCAGCACGAGAACAAATTAACAGTAAATACAATAGGCAGGTTCTGCAAGATATGCCGACAGGGATGAATGACTTTAAGTTTCTCCGATTCAATTTCACCAAACGCATTCTCTGAAGAGTATTTTAACTGCTTGGTAGGGACGTAAACACACTCCATTAAAAGATATATATTGAATAACTAATCCAAGAATTGTAATATAGAAAAGTATTCAATGAGTGACCGAACAACACAATAATTGGTCATAATGCATGATCATGAATGCGCATAGCGCATGAGTTAATTATTAGTGTTGTCTGGTTAATTTATTTCACTGGAAAATGATCACGGTAATTCATTGCAACCAATGTAATAACCCCGTTTTTTCCGTTTTTTTTTCATACGAAATGTGTAACCATTGTTCGAATTCGGATTCAGATTTTTTTTTAAATTGGCATATTTGTCTATACTTGCTTTAGGGACCGGTCAATATTTTATTGGGGCGTTGGGACCTGTGCAATTCATATTTCTCCCTTAAAAAAGTCTATGTCCTACCCTCTGAATATAACAAAAAAGTTTCTGTCCTATATGAAATACTACTAAATAAGTATATGTCCTATCTAATCTATGAATAAATCAAACAGACTGTAACTTCATTTTTATCAGATTAATATAGATCACATATAGAAGTCTTTGAATTTGTCTGGAATTTTAACTGATCTCCTCCTTGAAGTAGGCAAATAAGATTCCTTTTCAATTTTACTTTCACTTTCACTGCCACTACTACTACTATTACTACTGTATTCATCATTAGTATTATTATCATAATTGTCATTATCACTGACAGAACTGTCATAGGCTCTTATTACAAGGTCATCTTCTTCATCACTTTGGATTTGTTCATTATCTAGATCTACATATATGTATAACTCATATATTGACGATCACAAATTTTTTGCTGGTGTGAAATTTTTGGATTAATATTATATTTAGTAACTTCAATGGTGTTCAAATATTGCAGAGTTGAAATATTAGCTCCCCACAAAAATAACCACTTATATGGTACATGTATATGAATTTATTTATACAATAATATTTTTTTATGTTTTCCATGATATGCAAAAAAAATTTCTTGGTAAGAAGGCATAATGCACAACCCGAAGGGGAGTGCATTATGCCTTCGAACCCAGAACTATTTTAAATTTGCATATCACATGGAACACATAATATTACTGTCATTATTACTCTGAATGTTCATGCGCAGAGATGATCTTGAATTAATATGCCAATTATCCGCCCACACATACATGTATTCATTGTGATTTTAATATATATTTAAACCGTGTTATATTAAAATCGATATAACACTTTGAATGTGAATATAACCCATTTGATATTACGATGGATCTTATTTGAATCATAATTCATTCCTTATAAAAATATGTCAAAACTGCAATTCTAATGAAGAGTAATACTCTACAATAGTTTATGAACAATTTGTATTATCTTTTTTTTTTAATATATATATTTTTTTCTGTCTTTTGACTTTGTTTTTTTCTTAATTTTCTAGTCAGAATGTTTTATTGTTAAATAGTTTTCCTTATTTTTAAAGATGTATATTTTATTTAATCCTACCTTTATTTAATGATTTGCATTTGGTTAATTTGTACCACACTTATGGCAGTATATCATATCACTTATTAAAAGCTCCATCAATGTTCTCTATTTACATTTGTTTATTGTTGTTAATTTTGTTTTTTATTAATCATGTTAATTTTATGGTTTTTTTTTTTTGTTATTATTTATTTTTTATACATGTATATTTTTTTCAACCTTTTTAAAATCATTACATGATTGTTCTATATTAAAACATAATATTAATGTCTGTATTTCCATTGTTGTTACTTGTTTGTTCCTCAATTAATCTTGTTTATTTTGTTGTAATTAAATTTGTATAGCCTATTTTCTAATTCATACATGTATATGCCATAAAAATATTGCTGTCCTATCAGTGCTGAAAACTAAAAAAGTAGAAATCCTATAAAAAATTAAGTTAAAAAAAATGTGTGTCCTACTGCGTTTTGCACCGGTCCCCCCCCCCCCCCCCCCCCCCCCCCCAAATATTGACCGGTCCCTTATATAAAATATAACGATACAACTTAATTTTGTGCTATACATTTTATGGTGTTTGGAAAGCACGTTATTTGAAGGGCAATGAAGGGAATTGAATTACATCCAAATTGTCAGTCTCTATAATGTATTATAAAAAAATATTGATGTTGTAATGTTTATGCCCTTTGGGGCCCATAATTGGAAATAAAATATCTTATCTTATATCTGTTTCTCGAAGCTTAGTTACTTGATGCTCAATAAAATTGTTGTTTATATAAATTCTTAGTTTAAAAGTACAAACATTTAGAAAAGTTAACTGTAATGTGTTACATTTCCGGCTGCGTTGAAGACCCATTGGTGGCCTTTGGCTGTTATCTGCTCTTTGGTCGGGTTGTTGTCTCTTTGACATATTCCCCCATTTCCATTCTCAATTTTACAAGTTGTCCCCTTATTTTTAATCCTGTAGATGCGTGTGGTAAAACTTATAAATATTATTTGTAAAGAGCAGAAAAATATTTCATATAACATTGGACAATGCCTTAGAGTTAATACAAAACATATTTATTTCTTTTAATGCTATCACCTTGAAGCACTATTCTGTCATTTTAATGATTGATTTGTGTTTGTCAAATAAGATTAACTTCTAGTTGTTCCCCTTTGCCAGAAGAGGGCGTCCTACGATAACTTCCGTAAAACGAAAGCCAGCTGTCAGGATGGTTGCACGACTGTTTCTGTTGTTTTTATTTATTTTTGTCATAAATGCAGCAAATTTGAAGCCTAGATTTGAGTATAAATACAGTTTTAAAGGACCACATCTAGTGCAAAGCGATAATAGCATTCCTTTCTGGGAATACGGTGGAGGTAAGGTGTTGATATTCGGCGTGTTTTGGTTGGCAGTTTAGTACACGTGTAACTTGCCGGTCAACATATGGTCCGTGTTTACATTTTTTGCATGGAATTTTAAATTCTTAGAAATATTTCTTATAAACTTACCACGATCTGCAATGTAGTTTTAATTGATATATATGTTATTTTCCTAATGCAAAATTGAATTGCAGACTAGGACAGGCTGGGAAAGATCCTCATAAAATTATGGGTACTCTCCTCATTTACAGGTATTATACCGCAAAAAAAGTGTCAATTATCAGTGAAAATAATATAAAATATGGATTTATAGATATTTTCTGTCATGGTGCAAACATTAGGGGTCCAGGGTTTCCTTTTAGGGTATGTGTGATTGTTGGTAATGATTTTAAAAAAAAAAGCAACGATCATAATTGCAAGAAAACTGCAGTTAATTTCCATTCCTAAATCTATAGACGGCTCATGTTAAATCAAAATAAAACAAATCAGCTGAGTGATTATGCAACATCCTCATGACACAAATCATTGTAAAATGATAACTCAAACAATTGCTCTGTTTGCTGTCAAATTGTTTTGAATGTTAAATCCAAGGAGGTACAAAGTTGTCTTTGTATTCATTTCACTTAATCATTAGCAGTATTGGGTCTCACTAATTAGCGACAAGAAGAATAATTTTAGCGACAAGAAAACATTTTTTTTATTAAGATTACTAATATTCCAAATAAATATTAAAAAATATGCATTTGATTTTTTTTTATTATAAATATATGGGCAGGAATAAATTGATATTTTTTTTTATTATATTGATAGATGAAGAAATTAAACATTTGTGAGGAAGAAAGGGATTGTGTAGTTTTTTTATTATCTTGATAGATGAAGAAATTAAATAATTGTGAGGAAGAAAGGGATTGTGTAGTCCCAGATACGCTTTGAATTACATGTATATTGTAAGCGTGTTTACATTCATATCTAACACAATCGTTATACACTATGTACATGGTGGTTTGCCAATTTTTGAAGATGCTTTATTTGTAGAACTCCCAGCCACGCTTTGCCATCTGTATTATGTAAGCATGTGGTTCTACCTTGGGGTCCATATTTTTTTTAAATTTTTTTTAATTTTTTTATTTTGTAGTCATTATAGTAATATTTACATTCATATCTAACATAATCTTTATACATTTTGTCCATGGTGGTCCAATTTTGATAAGCCGTAGATTTTTTACCACTAAGGTTCACTGTATTTTAGCCCTTTTTGAAGATGTAGTATTTGCACTTTTAGTACGTTTCCTTTGACAAGGATTACGTGCACATGCACTTGTTTTGGGGATTGTCAGCCCACCATCTGTTGAAGTGGTGGACTCGGGGTTTGCGTTTAACTTTCTCCCATAAGTCAAGAATTTTTGCAATGCAAATGTCTTTTCTTTCTCCGATTTAATCTGCAAGAGAGATTTTGTGCATTGAAAATGACTTACTGAGGAGCTTAGCTCAAAGTCTCTATGTCCATAAAGTGCGCCATTGACAAGACTTTCTTGCAACTTTATTTCTTTGTGTATTTTATTAATCAACTCTGGAAGTTTCTCAGGCTTCCAATCTTGATTAAGTTTCAAGATGTGATTAATTGATTCACAATTGTTGTTTTTCCATTGCAATGGAATTCTTGACTCTGTTTTTCGTGCATTGTACACGTAATCCCTAATAGTAGGAATAACTTTTTGCATAAGGTATGGACCAACGAGGTCTTCATATTTTCTTTCTATTTCAGTTACCTTAGTGGAAAAATCTACCGTAGTATCTGCTTCTATCAGACCACTATCCCCAAACAAGTCTGATAAAATTTGTTTTGCGTTTTTGTCATTTAAGCCAACCTTAGTTCGCAAATGCCTAGTAACATTTTCACTCAAGTGTCTTGTGCACAAGGTTAGTTCAGAAAAACATTAAACTATTCATAAAGTTAATATGATAAATATCGTTAAATGAGGAAATACACAAAATAAAAATGATGAAAAATATTCACATTTATGTTTTCCTCTTGTTTGATTTTAGTTCTTTGTATTTCACAATTTGTGTCTATATTTTCTGGACAATGATGCACAAATAATGCATTTTGCAAGTTTATTATATATTGTACAAAGAGAGTTTTAAAAACAAATTATAAAATAAATATATTATTGTTCTAAAACACAAGTAAAATTAATATCATAATACGACAGGGTAAACGTAATACTTGCTGTTATACATAATAAATAATAAAATATCACAAATAAATGTAGCAATTAGATCTATGTTTCAAAATTTTTTTCTATCTATTTATTGATAGAATATTAACTTTCTTGTCGCTAAAATTGTTTTCTTTTGCATATTCTTTTAATTTAATATTTATTTTGAATAAGTAATTTTAATAAAAAAAAATGTTTTCTTGTCGCTAAATAGTCTTCTTGTCGCTTCTTGTCACCAAAATTATTCTTCTTGACGTTTCTTGACGCTTCTTGTCGCTAATTAGTGAGACCGGCAGTATTAGTTCTTGGTCACTTTAAAATCTTTGTTTTCCTTGTCAATCTCCATTGTTTTTTTACATGCAGCCCTCAAAAGTAGGTTTAAAGACCAGATATAAAATTTCATAGCCAGGAAATAATTTTCAGATGGCGTAAGAAATTTGTTATGAAAGTCTAGTCAGTAGAGCTAATGAAGACTAGATAAAAAAGCATATCACTAAATTTTCTATTATATAGAATAGTAGACATAAAATAAGTTTGTCTTAGTTCAAAGCAAATATTGCTTATAGTTAACCCTTGTACATCTTTTGTTCTGATCTTCTTTATTATACTAGTTAAATCAACATTGATAAAAGAAACACAATGACCAAACCATGACTAAGTTAACAAAAAAGTAAATATTCATTGAGGTTTGATAATAAATTTGGAATTTTCTTATAAATTTTCCAGTACCAGTTGCAGTTGTTGCTGCGATTTTACGCTTAATCGTAACATTAGAAGATGTACTTGGCTCTTCAGAAGCCAGAGTTTCTATAGAGGAACTCTCCGTCCCTTTCTTTTTGTTTCTTAGCTGGTGAAACATCTTTGTTTTGGGTCAAATGTGGGTAGTTGTTTTGAAAAATCTGGACAGCAACATCTGTTCGGCTGCCATGATGTATTGGCCCCAAAAACACTTCATCATGCGCTTGAATTTCCAGTTAAGTTAAGCGCTTTATCATGTTTATAGACCCCGTTAAGATTAAAAATACTTGAAATCATATTTAAGATTTAGCATACATTCAAGCGCTCGTATGACTGTGAATAAAACTTAATAAAATACGACCAGAGGCAGGTTGATTATCCAGAATTTTACGGTCGCCAGGTCCAAATAGTACCAGTCACCAAATGGCAATGCAATGTAATTTAGGTCGCTAGGACGCTTTATAGGTCGCCCAGGTGACTGTTTTAATAGCCTAAATTGTGGGCTGAGATGTGCAACTTGTAAATCACAAGTCTCCTTTATACTGATGTTGATGGGGACTTCACTTCGTAGGCAAGATATAGTGCCCTGTACTTGTACATTCCCATTGTTTGCATTTTGATTATTTTTCATTGTCTTGATTGTGTTTAAACTATGGAATGTGTTAATTCAAAATGTTTTCAACAGTACAATTAATTACTATACAGAAATATAAGGAGATGGGACCTAATGACAAGGATTTAAACAACTTCAGGTCAAGTATGGCCTTCAACAATGAGAAAACCAATTCTTTGTGTGTTTGGAATAGGGGGGGTACAAAGATTTGATTGTTTGTATATTAATCATGTTAATATGTACTATATTACAGTGACTAATCCAGTGTTATAAAAGGTCCATGTAGCCAAATAACACACTTCAGATAAGAACTATATGAGTTACAATATTAATTTACTATACTATGATAATCACTATGAACTGGTCAAAATCAGCTGGGACTCACCATTTCATTTCAAAAAGCGATGAGTCTCAGGACTCACATGAAAAATCCTAGTGAGAACCTAGCATTTTAAGTATTTAGAGAAGCGGTTGAATACAGATAAATATATAATTTTAAGAACGCGTCCCAATTCCAAGCTGTGACATGAAAACTCTCTGTAATGTAAGGGAGAATTCTCCAGAATTGGGATTCAGGGTTGGGCTATCAGAAAATTATTTAGTCCCCACAAAAGATGAATGGTTGGTGTTTTAGCTATATATATATTTTTTTTTCAACAAAAATCTGTTCAATTAGACATGCATGTAATTGGCATGCCTGTCCAGTGATGGAAATAAGCAGGGGCCAAATAGTTCATGATCCCTCTTGAATCTGCCTCTGATACCAGTCTGCACCAAAATATTTTCCAACTATATATATAGCTACTAGTTCGAAGACCAATATTGGGACATTTTTCTGTGTAAACAAAGTTTTGCAAATACATACATGTACTAATGCAAATGAAATTTTACTAGTCTGGAGCATCAGACTAGTCACTAGTGTCTAACTGTGCAGACTGTCAGTGATTTTGCTAGCGCTCGTCATTTTCGTCATTTACGAAACGGTTTTCAAAATGACGAAAGAATTCCAAATCAATTTCGTCACTTAAATTTGGAAAGAGTAAAAATATTTTCGCATGAAAATACTATAATTCTACCTGTCTTATTGTTTCTGACAAGTTTATGACTGAGACTGATACAGCTAATGTCTGTAAAATGTAGGTGTATATAATGCATATTGTTAACCTGAGTTATATCTAAGTAGTATTACAATGTTTTCTTGATTCAGGAATCTTTTAATTAGACCAATTCTTTAAAGTGCATGTCTATGTAAAGTTTCTGATAAGAAATTCTTTTACTGTAAACCACTTATTTGAAACAGATTGAAAAGTGTTGTTGAATCGAAACATTCATGGAAATGATTCTTTTCTTTCCTTTCTTTACAGATGCCATTGCAAGTGCAGACAACATCAGAATAACACCATCACTACGTAGCAAGAAAGGTAAGGTCACAATCAGTATCCAAGTGAGGATTTGACAATGACATAGTACTTTATCTCAAAAGAGGGCCCAGATGGGGTTTACAGAATAGAGAATAATGGGAAAAGTGCAGAATAAAGGAAAAAAAAAGAATAGACAAAAATAGTCAAAGAGATTAAAATAGAGAATAATCATAATAATAGGGTGCTAAAACATAAAGAATAAAGAAAAATGGTATAAAAAATAAAGAAATGAAGGACCCTCCATCATGTCAATCCTGAAACTCTCAAAAAGGCACTTTTAGTAAAACTGAAATGAAAAAACAACACAAGCATGTAAATGAAATTGTTAGAGTCAAATAGGGCGCTTTAATTTGATAAAAATTGGGAATAGTGTATTTAATTTGAATTTTTAAACTGATTTCTCATGTATGGTTTTTTAAATGGGCATTCCTGTAATTGTTGCCAGGGTAAGTTTATGTGATGAATGATTTATTTTGCTTTTTATTAGTGTTCCAACAGAGGAAGAACTGCCCATATGTTGAATATGTTAAATATGAAATTGATTATGTTTTGCATAATCATGTGTTAATCACAACATATTTCTTTACAATTGAGAAAATAAGAATTCATGAGTTTACACTATTCATAAGTACCCAAGCATTAAGCTGATTTTGTTGTAACATGTGTTAAGAAAATATTCTCCATGTATTCTTCACATTAAACAGTTCAAATTACATGGAATGTCATTCCTTATTTTAATTTTCCAATAATCTACATGCATATATTGTTACAATGTTGCATTTAGTTTGGTATAACTGCTCATAAATTACACAAGTTAAAAAGCAAGCATTTAAAGTTCTTAGTGAAAGTTCTTAAATAATTTTCAATATATTAATTTGAGTATGTGCTTAGAAAATTAATATCATGTAAGGAATATTCTATATATATGTATCTTAGCTTTTTATTTTTTATTATTTATCTTTTTATCAATATACATACATTAATTTTAAGGAATACAACTTTAAAATGGGCAGACAAACAAGGGGGATAATCTGCACAATTTTCTTCAAAGTATCTGAAATAAAAGACATTGTTACATGTAGATTGAAGTTACTTAAGTGAACAGTATGACTGACACTTAAACTGTCCAGTGAAGCCATGTAATTGTCCAAATTACCTCTATCCCCTTTTGTATTTGCTGACAAACCAATAATAAATAGTTGTACAATAATCATAAATTTTAGTGTTGTAAAAAGGAAAGGATTGCTCAATGTATAACGCAGGGCACCATAATAGCCAGGAAAAGGGGCACGGGGCATCAGATATAAGGGTATGGCACTGAACCCTGCAACAGGACAACTGCCAATCAATGTTAGCAGAAGAATAAATTTTAATGAGCTGCTGATATGCAGAAATATTTTTTTTGTGGCTTATTTTCTTCATTCTTTTATTTCATACATGCAAGTATCAATTATCATTGCACAAACATTTTTTTGTCTTTTCCTACAGAGTATTAAAAGTAGTGATGGATTCAGTTATTTTAGTAACATGATCTTGTTATCTCAATGACTGTAACTCCTGAAAGCTTTTTTCTGATAATCCACATCTTAAGTTGATATATTAGTGAATTATTTTGCAATGGAAAGATTTAATGGTAATTTAAGGCTATTATGTCTTAAATCCAAATCATTGTTCTTTTACTTTTCTATAGGATGGGCATGGTCAAAAAACCCTATCACCTTTGACCAGTGGTCAGTTGAGTGTGTATTTAAAGTGACCGGTAGAGGAAGAATTGGTGCTGATGGATTGGTATGTTGAACTTAAGACTGATATATTGAAAGATACATGTATATTAGATTTAAAATGTGTAAATTTCAAAAAAGTTTCCATTTTAAATTTTTGATATTGTGGTAAATATTTACATAAATTCCTTTTTACTTTTTACCATAGAAATATAAAGGAAATTTTCAGACTTTCAGTTTGAAATATTTTTATAACAATAACTCAAATTCACATTTAAAATCACTTTTGAAACTGGAGCAGGTAACTTTCTATCTGATCACAGTTAACTACAAGCCCTACCACCCAGGCCTGTTGTCTGGTCAGTAACATTTGCCTGAAAAGAGGCCTCCCATGATTATGAATTTTAGAAAATTTTATGGCAGACTGTTTTTCGAGCTAGTAAGTCTAAAAAGTTTTTGTAAAGACTGTAATCATGAAGATATTAGTTTTACCAACTGGAATGACATTTAAATTAATACCGGGTAAATAAAATTAAGCCTCAATATAATTACAAAATTATGACAAATTAAAACTTGATATAAATTACAGGCAGTGTGGTATACAACACAGAAGAGCCAAGAAGGAACAGTATATGGTAGTATAGATATGTGGAATGGACTAGGTGTCTTCATGGACTCATTTGATAATGATGGACAGGTGAATATCAATAGCAGTTTCTATATTCTTGGGTTAAACTTAAATTTCTAGTTATGCAAAATGCCAACCATTACGGTTTGTCCGTAATTGTTACAATTTTTTAGCCGAAATTATAGTGTTACGGCAACAGTCTACTTTTTACCGATTTCCGTTCATTTCGGGTCCTCAACTTTTTTTGTCGTTTAGATAATAATGTGATCATTTTGACGCTTGATTGTAGTTAATAATCAGGGAAGCGTAAGCGTTTGAGTGATTCAGAATATAAAACACTTTTGGGTTTCTCGGGACTTTCTATATGTTAAGTACGATTTATCCATTTCTTGTTAGATTCCGAATAAATAATGAACGCATTTGAAATGAGTCCCTTTTCCCTTACTTATATTCCCCTGTATTTGCTTTTCAATTGATTTCACGATGTCATCAGCAGGAACAAGTGCTTCTGCAGCAAAGAAAAGAAAATTGGGGCAACGTTTTTCGTCCTGAATATTCCATTGAGTTTCCTTGTCTTATAAAATCAATTTAGTCAGGTCAGGAAGAACAGAACTGACACTTGTACACGTCCAAATCTTTCTGTTTCAACTTTGTCGTCAATAATGGTTCTGAAAACATTCATGACCTCTACCAACAAAAAGTGCTACGACACACATATACAAATAAACAATTGAAAAGTGCTAAGTCACCAACATACCAGACACTCCAGAATTAGACTTTAGTTATACTATTGGAGGGAGATGGAGGGACATTTCAGGAAATTAAAATTTGTAATGACAGTACATGTAAGTTGAAACAGTTAATTTAGATTTGTTAAATAAACAAACAGGTATTAAAATAGCCAACTTTTTATTACAAGTCTTTAGTCCTCACTTGCTCATCAACTTTGCATCTAGTTGTCAAAAATAAAGGAAATAATTTGCCCGTCACTTTGCATCTAGTTGTTTATAGTATTATTATGGTAAAAAAAATGAATTACTGTGATTACTGAAAAAAATCACAAATTACTGAAATCTCAAATTTTGTTTACTGATTGCACCACAAAGGGGTTGGCATCTATGGTTATGCATCTTCATCATGCTTTTATAACATGTGTTTTAAGATGAGGCAAAAATGGGTGTAGAGGGGACTTCCAAAATCTCCCCACATGGCCCACAACCATCATACTTGCTTCGAATGCTTTTGCACATAACAATGTGACATACTACAATAAATGACTCAAGGTTCATGTCCAAAAATTTTAAAAAAGGTGGGAGGTTATAGTTTTCGGACAAGAACTCAAAAATGCTTTGAGCAGTTTTCATATAACTTTGGTGACTGGTTTATATCTATTAAAATAAGCTTCCTTTAGTTTTTTATAAATTTCTGAGGAGTTATGGAACTTTATTCATTGAAAAAAGTGATGGGTGTATCTTGCAATCATGGCACAGCTCTTTATTAAACTTCTTCCAATTAAATTGAAAAAAATATATCAGTCCTTTACACAAGCTAGAAAGCTGATCTTTCACATGTATACCTGATATTGAAAAAATCACAAATAATTATTCTTCTCTCTTAATTTTGTTGTAAAAATCATAATGACCAATGCATGCAATGAAAAACTTGGCTCAGAACCTAAATTTTGTTTTGTTTATTAATTAATTTTTTTTAAGTAAACTTTCAAAGTACAGTACCAAGTGGCTTGTACACAAATTGACTATAAGTTATGGTAAGTATGATTTTTTTCCAGCACAACAATCCTTATGTAATGGCTATGGTGAATGATGGAACTAAACAGTATGATCATCAAAGGTCAGTATTATGTGAAAACTAACTCACAAAAACATGAACATTAGTCATGTGAAAACTGACACCGGAAAAACATGCATATTTGTCATGTGTAAAAAAAATAACATGTAGGAAAAACACATATAAGACACGTGTAAAATACTAACACTGGAAAAACATGTGTATTAGTCATGTTTGAAAAATAACGCAGGAAAAACTTGCATATTAGTCACGTGTGAAAAATAACAGGAAAAACGTGTTTTAGTCACATGAAAAAAATAACACATGAAAAACATGCATATTAGTCACATGTGAAAAATAACACATGGAAACAAGCATATTAGTCAGATTGCTGCAATTAGGATTTTAGTCTGGAATTGTTGAATTATGTTTGCTTAATGTCCAGTGGCAAATATTTCATGCATGTTCAGGATGATCAACAGTTGTTAAATTGTGTCAATCCAACCTATCTTTTGACCTAGATTGTTTATGATTTTGAAATTTCAGACTATTTCAATATAAACATTTGTTTATATTTTGTTTTTAATGAATACTTAATTTAAAAGTATAGAAAATTCCTTCAAACTATGAGTTTTTTTTTTTTTATTTTTGTCTAAAAAAAAATCTTAATTTCTTTGCTCACAACACATGTTTGTGGAAAAATCTTCAATATAAAAATAAGGAGCTACAAGTGGTATGATTGCCAATTAGACAAATATGAACTAGAGTTTAAATGAAGTGGAAGTAAGCAATTATAGTTCACTGTACAGCCTTCAACAATGAGAAAAACCCATACCCTGTAGTCAGCTGTAATAGGCTCTGAAAAGAAAAATGTGAAACTATTCAAACAAGAAAACCAACGGCCTAATTTATACCAAATCAAAAGTATGTTCTAAACTAAAAGCTTGGAAAGTGAAAAACATACACTGTTTGAAATCAGCATAAAAACCAAAACTTGCAGATTGGTTGGTTTTTTTTTCATCCAGGAAGACCAGAGTTTGCACTAAATTCTCTGAAAAGATCAGATTGAAACTCAAGATACTAGCATACACAAGTAATTTTAAAGTGGAAATGATGTGAAAAGATTTTTTTTTCTGCTTCAAGCTTTTAATGAAAATAATGAGCATTAGTTTGGATCATGAAGTTTTAACCGTCTTGTAGCAGTATGGGTTTTGCTCATTTTTGAAGTCTGTATAGTGATGTATAATTGCTTAAATTCACATCATTGGGATTCTATTGGATAGTTGTCTCATTGGCAATCATACCACATCTCCTTATTTCAGGGATTCAAATTTGCTTTAAATATTGAAATGTCCAGGAACATTTGAAATTTTCAGTGAAAGGTTCTCCGTAAGAAATCAATGGTCATGTATAAAGCATCAGTGTAAAGAATGGTAGGTCCTTGACTTTTGTAATTTAGAAATGAAAAGTCCTCTCCTAGAAAAGACAGGTCCCGGACCTCGGACCCACACTAATTTGAACCCCTGTTGTTTTGTTTTGAACTTCCTTTGATTGAATTACATATAATTGTATATTACAGTGATGGTTCTCAGCAACAGCTTGGAGGATGTATGAGAGATTTCAGAAACAAGCCCTACCCTGTCAGAGTTAAAGTGGAATACTACAACAGAATATTGACTGTATGTACATTGTTTGATGTCATGTAATATTTTCTTCATCTTAAATAATGATAAATGAATGGATTATCCTATGAAGTCCAAGAGAATGGAAAACTCTTATTACATTTTATAAATTGAATCTTATTCGGGCTTTTTAAAATGACTTTCTGAAAAGAATTTCATGTATAGGCCTAGTATTCTTATTAATCTGGTAAATATAGGTAATGTAGAAAGAGAGACAAAAGATACCAAAAAGATTTTCAAACTCATAAAGTCAAAGACAAACTGTCAATGCCATGACAAAATAGGAAAAAAACAACCAACAGAGAAACTACAGTAGATACAAAACACAATGTGCTGTGACTGGTAGATTCAAAACACAATGGGCTGTGATTGGTAGTTTACATAATGTGGTAGCTCAAAAGTAACAGTGCTATAGATAGGTTTGGAATGACATAATTTGAGTTTGGGTTATTTCCCTTGGCCACCTTTTTTGAGGGATAATTGGTTGATTTTCTTATTTAACTAACCAAGTTGAAACATGCGATAGAAACAAGCCTGATAAGAGATCTTTACTACATTTATATTGTAGTGATTAATTGAGCAAGGCTAAAAGAAATAAAAAAAAAAGCTCAGAAAAAACCCACTTTTTTTTAAGACTAGCTGTCAGTATAACTAATTGAATTTGGCTGATTAATGAAGGAATTTGTGCACTAAGACCTCAAACATGGTGAGGAAAGGGGAGTAACTCTTGCTCACATTAGGTCAATAGAAACCTATCTATTTGTTCTAACAATTCATAAGTTTTACACAAGATGGACTGAAAAAACTTTTTGAAGAAACAAATTCTCACTCTGTTTACTCATAAGCTATAATATTTCTACATTATTGATGAGGCAATTTTAGAAATTAACATGCTTGCCAAAGCCAGTGTGTTCAAAATGTAAAATTTAGCTAGAAATTATTGCAACTCGCTCGTAACACCATGAACTAATTTTTATATATAATCCACACAAAAAATTCTAGATAATGCATTAAATGTATCTATGATCAGAAAATAAATATTATAGATAACACTGTATTCTGTATTCTTTAGGTATTTATCAACACTGGTCTGACTAATAACAAAGATGATTTTGAGTTATGTTTACGTCAAGAGAATGTAGATTTACCTAAAGGTGGATATTTTGGAATATCTGCTGCTACAGGTGGACTCGCTGGTAAGTTTGGTTAAAGTTATTTTGTGTAAAAAAAGGTATTTCTAGTAAAATAATAGTGTGTTGTTTTTTTTAGACGAGGTATGTTTTTTGAAAAAAAAGGTGTTTCATGTGGTATATATATATTATTTGAAAATAATATTTTAGCTCTTGAAAGATCAGGCAATGTTTTAAGCCAATATTTTAATACAATTTGGAAATTATCATTGAAAAAAAATCTAGCAAAACATTTTTAATGATACATAGTCAGTCACCTTGTTCTATTTTTGTCGAGCCTTCGACTTTTGTCGAAAAAGTGAGACATAGCGATCCTACATTCCGTCGGCGTCGTCGGCGGCGTCCACAAATATTCACTGTGTGGTTAAAGTTTTTGAAATTTTAATAACTTTCTAAAACTATCCTGTAATTCTACCAAGCTTGGACAGAAGCTTGTTTATGATCATAAGATAGTATCCAGAATTTTGTAAAAAAAAAATTCCTGTTTTTCCGTATTTTACTTATAAATGGACTTAGTTTTTCTGCCAGGAAACATTACATTCACTCTGTGGTTAAAGTTTTTAAAATTTTAATAACTTTCTAAAACTATCCTGGATTTGTACCAAACTTGGCCAGATGCTTGTTTATGATCATAAGATAGTATCCAGAAGTAAATTTAAAAAAAAAAAAATCCTGTTTTTCTGTATTTTCTTATAAATGGACTTAGTTTTTCTGCCAGGAAACATTACATTCACTCTGTGGTTAAAGTTTTTAAAATTTTATAACTTTCTTAAACTATCCTGGATTTGTACCAAACATGGCCAGATGCTTGTTTATGATCAAAATTTAGTATCTAGAAGGAAATTTTTATTAAAATTTTGTACTTGTTTATCCATATTTTACTTATAAATGGACTTAGTTTTTCTTCCAGTTAACATTACATACAGTCTGCAGTTAAATTTTTAAAATTATTTATTAAGATTCATAAACTATCCTGGATTTTTACCAAACTTGGACAGAAGCTGCTTACAATAAAAAAAATTGTATCGAGAGGAATATTTTTATTAAATTTTTTCCTCATATCATTTTTGTTGAGCCTGCGATTAATAGCAAAAGTAGGCGCGACACTGGGTTCCGCGGAACCCTTACGACTTTTTCAGAAAAATACTTGTTCTAAAGCTTTAGGATCAGCAGTTATATTATCTTTAAATTTGCTTTAAGAACCTTGTCTTTTTTGTTTTGATGCAATTGAACTTTTCCTTTTTCAGATGACCATGATGTGGTTGCATTCTTAACCCATTCTCTACATGATGCTGATCAACTGGTAATTAATCTTTAATTCTAAAATAATAACGTTGCATGTTTGTTTCATAAGAATCGATACTTTCATGTGCAATATACAAAATGTGCTTCTGTCAACGCTTTTACACCCCAATAAGATTTCAAAAAGAAGCATTCAATTCTTATATAAAGCCTTAGGGCATTCCATTAAAATGTATGTGAGAGGGTAGGAAGGGAAGTTTAATTATTGAATGTGGGTCATGGGACTTTTTTCAGTATGCGTCTATTACCATTATGCAAAATTATCTAAAAAATGGTTCTTGGTTGTAGGGATATTTTGAAAGTCCCTTCCTACCCTCCCACATACATTTTAATGGAATAGCCCTTATCATACCCTCTCTGTATCAGATTCTGACGGTTGTAATACATATAAAAAAATTCATACCATTCCATATTAGAATAGAGAATATACCAGGGTTATCATAAAAAACCATACATCAAATAAAAACCAATAATACCATGGCCAAAAGAAATTAGACCAAAAAAACTTTTGAACTGTTTCACAATTTTCATGTTGGAGCTTCCAGGGCCAAAAGAAATTAGACCAAAAAAAACTTTTGAACTGTTTCACAATTTTCATGTTGGGGCTTCCATGGCCAAAAGAAATCAGACCAAATAAACTTTTGAAACTGTTTCACATTTTTCATGTTGGGGCTTTTTTTAGCCAACTATACGGTATGGGTTTTGTCATTGTTGAAGGCCTTAGAGTTGCCTATAATTGCTTACATGCACTTCACTTGAACTCTGGTGAATAGTTGTCTTATTGACAATCATACCAAATCTTAATTTAACAATAAAAATTGTTTATAAAATAACCATTGAGCAACACTAATCTTCTCAAAAATTTGGTTGAGCTCAGGTGCCACGGAAGGGTAAGTAGTTCCTGTTCCATATAAGAATCAGCATGTACTGTAAATTCATTTTTTTTCACCAGCAAAAATTTTCGTGAACCGAGGGAAAAAGTATTTTGGGGATACTGAATTTCATAGTTTGATAAATTCTGTGCACAAGTGTTTAATGAATTTCTATTCTATGAACACTTGAATTCTTGGTTTCACTTTAACATCCGATATCCACGAAAAAAATAACCATCAATATCAATGCAATGAATAAAACACATTTGGTTTATGGAAAGTGTATAATGTTTCAGGGGAGTTGCTTTTCAGCTGATTTGATAATTTGTTGCTTTCAAGGTTAGGGACAGGGTAAAGCGCTCACAAATTTTAAATTCTGTCACATTCTTGATGTATCTGTCCCAAGCCAGGAAACTGTAATCTAATGGTTGTCATTGGTTGCTGTCTGCCATGTTTGCTTTTCTATTTCATTTTTGTAGTGCATTAAACAGGCCATTTGTTTTCTCTTTTGAAGGGGAGTTGAAGGTAAAATGGGAAAAAAAGTAAAGTAATAAAGTAAATAAAAATCAATATCAAAATGGGTGTCAAATAAACAATATATACAAATGAATAGTTTCTATATTTTGAAGTTTTTAACTAACAAGAAATGTTATAGATAGATTTGTGTTTTCTACACAGGCAGCAAAGACACAAGTTTCTGAACAAGAAAGACAGAAATATGAGAACGAGTTTGATACCTATTATAAAGAATTAGAAAAAAATAAACAAGAGTAAGTATACTAATTTCTCTGGAATGATTTACATTTCCAGACAGATGATTGTTTATTTTATAATCAGTTGTGTTTTACTTGATCACAGTTCTTCATTGGTCAAATTCAATAATACTGATGTAAAAATTCTCTCTTTCCTCTGATTTCACTATTGTTACAGGATCTCTGCAGATCATTAAAAAAGAAAGATAATTTTTGCTTGCATATTATTTAAAATATCATGGAAGAAACAGATTCCACCACCATATATCTAGCATAAGTATGATTCTTCTCTCAATTGTGACATATTGAATATTTAAATCACTTTGTGCTTTAAATTTGTATTATAAATATTGCTATTTTTCAGGTATAAAGAGCAACATCCAGATCAAGTTCGCCAAGATTATGAAGGAGAGGTAAATAGAAAAATATCTACGTTCATAGTTACTGTATTTAGAATTTTCACCATTAGTTTATTTTCCCTTATGATGTTAAGATGATAAAATCTTAAAAATGTATTCTCATGTAAATCTAATCTTTTTTGGAAGATAAGAATTATTGACTAGCAAATGCAAAAAATAAAACATCAAAAACATTATTGGACTTAGAAATTGCAATCTCCACAAAGATTAATCACTGAGTGTTAATCTGTTTTCTCTAATTCTTACCCAATTTATGCCTTTCCTGACCTGTTGATTATTTTTATTTAATCAACGTGTGGTACGTTTGATCTCAGTTCTCCATTGGTCAAAATTCAATTATGACATCATATTTTCTTGCTTTCCTCTGAATTTCCTATTGTGACGTCATGGAAAAAGGCGACCATGTCTGATGACGTCACATAGAAAGAGCACAACTTTTTTGTAGATCATTCGAAAAGAAGGATTAAAATTGTCTGTATATCGTCTAAAAATTATTAGAGAAACAGATTCTACCACAAAATCTTGTGCAATACGATATTTATCCACTCTCAACAGTTAAATTTAAAATTATTAAAATGCTCAGCGAGCCTCACGTTTTAAATTTGAAAATTTAACTGTCTCGAGTGGTTAAATATTGTATCACACTTGATGCAGTGGTAGAATGTATATTTCTCAAACAAATTTATTTAACTGAAATTCACATACGTTAACTTGTGACCAAATTTATTCTGTTGATGAAGTACAGTCAAACCTTGTGTCGAACTCGGATGAGTCCTGGTAATTTCTCGGTCCTGGTAAAATTCCTGTTTGATCAATGCATAATTACCTCTGATGAGTCGAACTCGGTTGATTCGAATACTCGGTTAAGTCGAGTAAATTTTATAGTCCAGTCGAAGTAAAACTAATGTAAATTGACCCCAATGTCTCGAAGTTTGTAAGTAAGAATTTTCGAAAGATGCAGACCTAATGATAAAAATTCAAATCGAATGTATTTCTGATGTCACCTAATCATATTCAAAAGAGATTAAAGCTGAGTAAACATATTTGTTTGTTTAACAGTTAAAATGACATGTTTATGGTGAGCGCTAATTAACACCTTCGTTGATGTTAGTGTGTTGAACATTTTTCACCTGAGATAAAAACGAAAGGAATTTAAATGACCTAAGCCAGGATTAAATGAATCTTTAGATTTAAAACTCATTAATTACAATAAATAAAGGATTAGGACAATTATAACAAATTCATGATAATTTAATGTAAACATAGGTAAAGCAGACCACCTCATCAGAGACCGTTCAGAACTTATTTCGTGCCGCGAGTGATTTCATAATTTATAGTGACTGACCTTTGTAAATATTTATGTATACTATTGATTTTATTTGTGCATGATTTGTATCTGTACTTGTGTGTTTAATTATTACGAAGGACCAAAAAAATGAAGATTGAAAACACAATCATAAAGTGTCATATCGAAAAAAAGGCACACTTTCATTGTATCTAGTTTACACAAATCTTATACTGTATTTCATGCATTACAAATTTATAACAACACACTCGACCTCGGATGAGTTGAATACTTTGGTCCGGTCCCTTCAACTTCAACACAACGAGGTTCGACTGTACTCAATTTGCCAACTTATTTTTGTGGATATTTATTGTGGTGTTCAGCTCTTTATTGTCGACATCTTGATGATTTGTTTTGTGAGTTTTAAATATCTTGATGGATTGATATTTATAAGAGAAGATTCACAACTGTTTATTTTCACGTTGTTTTTTCTGCTTGCAAAAATTTATTAGTATTCAATATTATTTTGTTTTAAATAAAAAGTAGGTAATGCTAAAAACACATAAGGGGCAGATTAATGGATTGATAGTGGCATACTATTTATATAGTGTCTGAAAGTTGTTCATTACCAGATAATTTTTATCCATTCAGTTAAATATATATAAATATCTTAAATATAAATTGTATTCTTTTGTTTTTAGTTTGATAATCAGGGTGAGAGAGAATTAAGGATGATATTTGAAGGACAGAATTCTATCCACCATGCTGTTAAAGAACTGAGAAAAACATTAGACGAGTTATTAGGTAGACAGGAAATGGTTCTTACAAGAGTGAGTCAGTTGTCAACAGGTGGCGCTGTACAAGCTCCACAAGGTGGTGCTCAACAGGTTAGTTGTGATCAATTATTTTTATACCAAACAAAGGATCTGTACAAAGAATTATTTCGTATGATAGATGAATTATTTGAATATTCTCAAAAATGCTTTAATCTAGACAGTATTTTTTTCCATCAGCTCAAATAAGATTTGCAATTTCAGAAAATGATGTGTTATGGGTATATATATTTTTTAAAGCATATTCAGCCAATGGTATCATGTGTCATTATTTCAACATTCTGGTTTAAACAGTTTTTCTAGATTTTCTATACAATAAAAGGGTTAATGCATGAATATTAATGAATCATATCCCTCACAAGTTCATGCAATATATTATTAGTTACATAGTGTGCTAGTGACCTAATACGATATATATGGGGTCAGTAAATTCCATATGGGGTGAGAGGGAAGCTGGAATCCCCATATGGAATTTACTGACCCCATATATATATCGTATTAGGTCACTAGCACTCTATGTAACAAATTTATCTTGCCGACTATCTTAACATGTGGTATTTAGACTAGTGGCCTTTCAAAATGATCAAGTCTTCAATACCGTTAGTATTAAGAATCTACTTCCATTGGTCTATACAAAAACAAATGCCAACAATAACAACTTGTTAGCCTTAAATGTGTTTTATGAATTTATTTCAATTGTTCATCATCAATTTCTTTGTCTATTGAAACCTTTAAGATTTTTCCTCAATACCGTGTTGTTTTTATAAAGGGACGTAACACCACTACTAACCGTGTATTGAAATAAGCCCTGCCTACTAACCCAATATGGAATATACACGGTCTCCACACGGTTGCTTTTAACCAATCATATTCCTAGAAATGAATAGGAAGTCAGATAAATTTTCATCTCAGGACAATGTTCACCAAAATACATGCCATAACCCTATAATACTGTTATAATGGTACAACAATTTATAAATACATACATTGAAATACTTTAGTTTAAACATATTTTATTCAGAAAATAATCTGAAATGGATCGAATAGCAGGCTAAAGCATATATACATCCTCTCCAATACAAAACAACAAACAACATGTGGAAAATATTCAAATGAATAAAGACAAATACATTCTAAGGGAAATAACTCAATAATATAACATAATAATGGATAAATGCATAAACGTGTTATGGAGAAAATTATAATAAGCTGACGGGAATCCTATAAGAAAATATATAAAATAAATAATAACAAGTATCTAATTTAGTTGTTGAATACTGTTTTCTATTGTTAGGTTTTATATTTATTACTTCCTCAATCAGAGAACAAATTTAACCATTTGAAATACTTTAAAACTATATCAATTATTTGTTTGGACATTGCAGCAGATGGGAGGAGGAGGAGTTCCACTGTTAGATACTATAAAAAGACATGAAGTAGATAGAGTTATGAATAATCAAAATGATTTAATACAGAGTGCTAGAGAAATGAGGTAAGCTTAACACCATTTACTGGGGATTCATTTATTTTCTTTGGAAACAATTTTCGAAGATTGAGTAAAACTTGCATTTTTGTGGATATTTAATTTTGTGGTTTTGCCAAATTCTGCATGCAAGTCTATAGAAAAGGAGTAGGTTCAGTAAGACCCCATTTTGGCCCCAATTTATAGCAGTTTTACAAAATTGTTAAAATGTAAACTTTTAGCTATTTATTGGAAAGTAGAATACTTCTGTTACATAAATATGTACTGTTTTTGACAATACAATGGACATATATCGGGTACTAGCATCATTAAGTCATGCTAAATTACTGAAATCTTTACAATTTTAGCATTTGAGTTAATTATTAGACATTTTCTGTCTTAAATGGAAGTGGCCGAATTTGTGTTCATTCTTAATATTTAAATGTAAGTTGTATTTGATGATAATAATAACATATATAAAGGTTGATAGTGAACGTGGATGCGGCCACTTTCATTTTTGACAAAAACCATCTGAATAATGACTTAATTTGGCATATTTGATAGATTTTTCATATCTAAGCTTGAATTTGAGCGTCTTTAATGACTAAGTCAGTTCAAATCTTTCACATAAACTAATTGAATCGACTGAAGTAGACACTTTAAAAGTGTTTGAAAAGTGTTGAAAATCTTTCATCAGATGAATCTGAAATTTGAGGCCAAAATCAGCCCTTACTGGACCTACTCCATTGTAATTCATTGAACATTTAAACTCATGGTTCACCTTTACCAACGAGATTGATGAAAATTGGTATCACAAGAATGATAATGAACCCACAGTTTTAAGTTTTTTTGTTGGGTTTCTGTCCATCCATACTTTGTATATCCAACTCAAATAAACCAGGAACTCATTTATAAGGAACAAAGATTGATTTTAAACATATAATTTTTTTTTGGTTTTTGGTCACGTGATTTGTCAGGTATGGCGTAGCATTCACTTTGCTATGTCTACAGAAATGAGGTAAGAATGGGTATATCACAACTGCTCACAAATTGTTAAGTTCAATCTAATGTTACTTTTAAGTACATATTTTATTTATTTTGTTATATCAGAAACATTATTTCTTTAACCAATTGAAAGCATTGGTGGCTAAGGGGTTTAGATGGTCAACATTTAGCTTTAGAATGCAGATCCATAATATTAATAAAAGAAGATGTGAGGTATACATCAATGAGATAGCTACAGAAATCCAATAAAAAACTAAACAGGTCTATAGCTCGCTATGTGGTATGGGTTTTGCTCATTATTGAAGGCTGCACATTGACCTATTGGTCTCTGATGGAGAGTTGTCTCATTGGCAATCATACCACATCTTATTTTTATCTAGACATCTTGAAGCATTGCGTAATTCAAAAACTTAATTAATAATTATGTCTTTTTCAGAACATTATTAAACGATATACAAAATAGAGCCAACGTTATACAACAGAACATGGGCCAGGGCGGAGGAGCTGGGGGCGGGGGTGGTGGCATCCCACATCATACACAACAAGCTATATCAGAGTTACAGGAACATATGAAATATGTCAGACAAGATGTAGTTAATTTAGTTAATAGACCACAGGTAAGAAAATACTATAGTAAGACACAATTTACTCTATATCCACCGTGCTTGCAAATATGGCAGTATTTGTTCACAAGATGTAGTTAATTTAGTAAATAAGCCATAGGTAAGAAAATACATATACAATGGTACAGTATACTTTATATTTGGAGTGATATACACCACAAGTAAGGAATTTCAATAAAACTACACAATGAACTAAATGTATTTTTAGTGTTAAATACTCATTGCTGGTAAATGTGGCATTGTTTTGTTTACAAGATGGAGTTAATTTTGTTACTAGGCTATAGGTAAGAAAGTACTATACAACAACACAATTTAAGTTCATATTTAGAGTACTATGTTCATATCACTGGCAAGTTAAGAATCAATGCAGTGTATTCAAGAGTGTTGATCTTCCAGAACATGCATGAAATATTTGACACAGGATGTGAAGCAAACAACAATCAATCATCAAGAGTTTTAACCCTCAACCATGATAAACTTTCTAGGTTTCACTATGATCCTTAGAATTATTAAGTTGGATTGAACCTAAGTTACAAGCATAAATGACTTATAATCTAAATATGTTGAAGGGGAGATAATCAAACTTGCTTTCTTCAATATACTATTAGTATTGCAAGTGGGGATATCCTTTTGCGAGTTCACTCAGTTTTAGTTCTTACAGTTTGAAATTGGTTGCAATGATAAAATAACAAAATATAGTGCTAATTTGTTAAATTATTTTATTAAAGTTTTGTTAGATAAATGCCATGACTGTTTATGTCTCTGACAGTGTAAATAAAGTATAAATAGTTAAAATTAATACTTTTTCAATTATTTAAATAAAGTTTAATTTTGATTGGTGATTATTATTATGGATTCTATTTTTAGGCAGCTGGAGGTGTCGCCTGTCCACCACCATTAGCAGTGTCCTGTATAACACCAACATTATTTTTTGTTTCAATAATAGCACAATTTGTATTATTAATAGCATATATGGTTTATCGGTGAGTATTTTAATTGATTGGTACTTCTTTTGAGTAATTAACCAAGAAAATATTATAATTAGATTTTCGTTGATAGATAAAATTGAGAATGGAAATGGGGAATGTGTCAAAGAGACAACAACCTGCCCAAAGTGCAGACAACAGCCCAAGTCCACAATGGGTCTTCAACACAGCGAGAAAATCCCACACCTGGAGGCAGGCTTTAGCTGGCCCCTAAACAAAAATTTGTTCTAGTTCTGTGAAAATGGACGTCACACTAAACTCTGAAACATATAATAGAACTAAAATTAAAAAAACATACAATACTAACAAAGTCCAGAGGCTCCTGACTTTGGACAGGCACAAAAATGCGGCGTGGTTAAGGATGTTTTGGGTATAGAAATATGGTTACTGGGACTTCTCCTGTCTGGCAGTAAGAGTTAGCATGGAAAATTTGTCAGCAAACATTATGCCAATTTAGTTTTATCAAATTACTTTGCAAGGGCCATGTTATTATTCTTCTTTTATTTATCCAATTAAGACCTTTAAACTTTTACATGAAAGGACAAGTGACTATGCAAAAACTGAGTTATTGGAAACCTCGAATTTTGTTTTACCTTAAAAGTGATAAATTGAGTAATTTTCATTGTAAAATACAAATTTATACATGAGCCTTAAACTGCTTTATTGTATAATTATTGTCTTGTTTTGCAGGTCAAATAAAGAAGCACAGGCAAAGAAGTTTTATTAGGAGATATTGTTATTTATATTGGTATGAATGTGAAGATGAATGAGAGAAAATATGTGATGAAGTTCAAGATCATGACAGATATTTTATGAAGTTCAAGATCACAATTTTTAAAGTGCTCAGGGTCTCTTATATGGAGCATTAATAGATATTTACTACTTGGTTGATTATTAAACTTGATTCTTATCGATAAAACTGAGGAAATATTTAGACAAAAAGAAGATCTGATTTTTTATAGGTCTTTTTCAAAAGTGTTTTAACAGAAAAACAGACAAATGAATGCACTTTTTGTAAACTCATAAACTCATAAATGATTTCAATTATGTAATGTTGACAAGATAATTATATATATATAAACCAATACTATTTTTTTATGCAAATGAACTTTGTTTATATCAATCACATTTTCGTGTCTGTAGTGAAATAGTGCTTGGTTTTGCATGTTATAGGGATTTCTAGATAAGAAAAAAATTTTCTCATTTAAAACCAATATTTTGATCATTTAAAAAAAAAATTATACTTCTCATGAGAAAAATTTTCTGTTACTTAAGAATGTACAAAAGTGCTTTTGAGGCATATTTGATGCGGTTGAAAACAATATTTTTTTCTTGTTTTATGGCAAAATGTACATTAAATATCAATCTTGATGACATTCCCATATATTAACATTCCCTTTGACTTAGCTGTTAAAAAGATGGATTTCAACATTTATCTTCCAGAATGGTGTATTTTTCTTTTTAGAAATATTATACAATGTCTGGATGAACTAGGAATTTGAAATACATGTACCATCTTTTTGGAAAAATTACAGCCTCACGTCTACAAAAATATCATTTCAGATAGTGTCACTTTCAAGCAATAAATTACCATTATGTTAAAAGACTCTTTGGAGAACACTGTAAATATTGGTAATCCTTTTAGAAAGAAAAAAAATCTTAATCCTTTAATAAGATTTATGAAAATATGCATGAACTGACTAGAGCTTTTAGATGTGCTAGGTAAAATCATCTTGATTTGATGAGTTGATATTCACATTTAAAACATCAATGTAGAAATTTAGCTGATTTTTTGTAAGTTTATATATTGGAGAGTCACAAATCAAAAACTGATTTTATATTGTTAATTCAAGAAACTCTTAAGGCTGCATCAAATTGTTTGATATATAATTATATTACTTATATTATTTAAGTTTGAATTTTAAATAGAAATTGACAGTTAAATAAAGATATCTGTTCAGCTTTTACAGTTAAATAAAGATATCTGTTCAGCTTTTACAGTTAAAGAAAGATATTTTTTTAGCATTAGCTGATGCAAGATTGAAGATTTAGTTAATTTTTAATTTAGATCAAGTTGACAAAAAAAATTGAAAATATGAATGAAATATGTCACAAATAGATGAAGAAAAATATACCCCATAGAATTTTTATGCCATTAATTTTATGAATGTTGATGTTTTCATAAGGACTTGTTGTTGTTAACGAATTTTGTTGTCAAGAACATGGTGCTAATCACGGTAAAGAAGATGCTTGAGTAGAACTATAAATTTTATAAAACAAATTAGAATAGATGTAGATTTTTGTATATCTTGATTCAAGATCAGCATTATGTTTTCAAGCAATCTGCTTAAAATACAGATCCTGCTTCCAATCTATGCTTACAAGGATCTGAAAATGCTCCATTCTACATTATGTTTTAACGACCTTTCCGGATCCTCTGGTTTTGTTGGAATGATACAGCACCTTCAAAAATTTGAAGGCTGAAATTTCATTGGCTGATGTAACTATTTCCAGAACGGAAAATAAAATGGAGTGTTGTCAGATCCTAATAAGCAAAGATTGGACACAGGATATGTTTTTTATTCAGATTGGTTTTCAAGTTAATACAGGTAGCAAAATCATTGTTACATCATAGCTATTTACTCTTTCTCTATGTGAAAGATAAATGACTATCTTTTGTAACTATATGATACAGCTGTGTAGTTTACAGATGATATTTATAAATTTTAATATGTTTTGTGTGATATAGAGTAAAATGATGTTTGTTTACATATCTGGGTATATCTCTAAACCCTTTGATAAAAATTACCTCTTTCTTGCTAGTTATTCCTAATGAGAAAAAAAATTATAAGAATTCAAATGTTTATAATTAGCTCAAAAGCTTATCAATTTCACAGCTGTATAGAATTTAAACTTGGAACCTAAGTAAAAAAGTAGTTATGCCCCAAAATTGTCATTTTGGTCTGCAATATCAACAACTTCAATATATATTTTATTTTCATTGAAATAGAATTTTAATTGGCTTTATGTTTGTATCATTCTTATCATTACCATGTTCAGTTCTAAATCTTATTTGGTGCAATATATTTCTATCAGTGCTTCTTGCAGTTTTAGACTGAAATGTATATTTTCTGAGTGGTCTTGCCTTGTTTAACTTAATGGTGCAATCAGTTATAAAGCATTTTCAATTTTAGTCAGGTTGGCAATTTATTTTATTTTTGTTCTTTTTCAAATTCGTTTTTCTTTTCTGTTGGTTCTGAAATGTATAATCCTGTATATTTTGTAATTTGCTAAAATTTGAATAGCTTATTTTATAGATATAAAAAGGCTAGTTAATAGATTAATTTAATGTTTATAAAGTTCTATAAATACATTATAGTGTAACCATTGTAGCAATTATGTAGGTGAAATAAATTTAGTCGATCTGATTATGATTAGAAATCTCTATGTAGTTTTTAGTAATAAATATCATTTAGAATTCTGGGGATCAAACTATTAAGCAAAATAATTTCAAATCCCCAGGACCCACCAATTATTGAAAATTTATAAACTTTGCTCAAAATACCCCACCTTCAATGCCAAATTTAGATAAATTAAGTGCAAGTCCGACGAATGTACAATGAAGCCTTTTACTATTATATTGTATTCATTCAGAATTAATAGTACTCCCCCACCTCAGAAAATATGTGACAGTGAAATCTATAAATAAAAGTGATGCAATTTATTTTACTGTATAAATTAAGGACAACAGTTAATATTGGTAATTGACTCATAATAAATAAATTTCTATAATAAAAAATTCGATTTTGAAGGTTATTAGAAGGAATTTGAATATATACTTTCATAATATGTTATAGACGTTACATAAGAAACAAAATCAGACACCATATTTTAATGAAAATGCTGTGTCTTTCATGAACTCTGTAGTTTTAGCAGACCTTCTCTGGCTTGTGTTATGTAAAATTATTTTATGTAAATTGCAATTTTCACTGTCTTTTTATATTGCCAAAATATTATTCTGTATAAAAACTGCATCATAATTATTGTGCACTTTATTAGCGTTAAAAAAAAACCTTTCTTGAACAAGCATAATATTCATATAACGTTGACTAAAGATCTGTATGGTGCTTTGAACATTAAATATGCATTCTTTTATTTCCATATTTTGATAAACTGCTATCATTTGAATTATGTCGATTTGATAAAAAAAAAAAAGAAGAATAACCTTCATATTATGTCTCAAAAAAATTGATAAAAGCAGTATTAAATTATAGGAAACATATATTTGAGTTAAATGATATGGTCTTAAAAAATGGTGATTGTATTGCTTTTTAAATGAATTCAGATATTTGATAAATGCATTTGACTAAAACTGTTTTTTTTTTATTAAGAGAAAAATGAAGAACAAAAACAGGTTCCTTTTCACTGAGACAACATAATTTTGTTGAAACAACTCATTCCAACAGTTTATTTTATAATTTTGAGAAAACGAATAACCTGTTGTTAAAAGATTCAAAAATAAATAAATGGAGACATGGGGTATATGTGAATGTGACAGCAACCCAGATACACAAACACCAAAGACACATAGGGTAAAACAACATGCAAGTGATATACAATCTCATGGTCGTAATTGATAGTCTAGAAAAGTTACAATGATTTAAAAGAGTAAACTCTAGTAAATTTGCATTTTTGAACAATGGACACTAATGGGAGATAAATGATGCATCCAAATAATGCTATAAAATTCAAAATGTAAGTTTTCATTTTTGTGAAACCTATCCCGCAATATTGATAAAAACAAAGCAAATATTTACAGTATCAGATTGACTATCAATGCTTATTTCTCCCAAGTGGACAAAAACATTAAGCTATAACAAGAGACATTTGCATTAATGTATATCAAGACGTTGAATATAAATTCCTATTGTTACATATAAAGAGAAATATTTAGATTGACAAGTCATACATATTAGTAGTTATAGCTAAATCGGCTGACTGATACTGACGTTTTACCTGCTTAGTTAAATATAAAGGATGATTCATTTAATAAATTCATATGACAAATTTACAATATGCTGTTTAATGTAGTGAAAATAACTACAGTGAAACCTGTTTTACGAGACCTCAAGGGAGAGCAAAAAAAAGGGCAAAAATAGGCAGGTGATCTTTTTATACAGGTTCAATTTTAATGATATGCACTACAAAGAAACCTAAAATTAATGGTCTTATAACACAGGTTTTTGCTCAATACAAGTGGTCTCTTAAGCAGTTTTGACTGTAGATAAAAGAACTAGGAAACTATATTTTTTAAATGAAATAACATTCATTTGAATATCAAGTATAACATATTGTCAGCATGCAAATTTTATAAAGCTAAGGTGTTAATATTTAATGCATGTTGATATATTATATAAATTTTATTCCATATTGTTGACATTCCATTTTACATGTATTTTATCATGGATGACTGTTGAGTAAAAGCGTAATGTCATGTGAGAGATTTAATTGATTGTATATGATATATGCAAAGGATTTATATTTTTATTAAAATTTGTCAAATTTAATTTGATTTGCTGTGACCAGATTCACAGATAATTGTAAAGAGGGAGGTGCTCATTTTCCAAATTCCCACTTTTCCTTTTCCCCAGATTATACTTTTGTTACCTCCTATATCCTACTTCCCAAAAGCATGTCACCCCCTCTGTTAATAACTAATTATTCAGATATATTTTATTAATCAACTAGGAATTCAATGATTAAGAAGTTTGAAACTTGGATTTCCAACAACAGAAAAAAATATGTAATAAGTAATTTTCAATTATTGTAATTTTTTTTTTGTTACTAACAGTTATGTTGTGTATTAACAGAAATACTATAAATTATTCATTGTATGGTTGTATGATTGGTTAATTCGTTTTATTATTATGCTTGTATGTATGCCAAAAACAGTTACTTCAGATCTGGGACAATTAAGCATTTATTTCTTTACAAACAGAACTCTTTTTTTTCCTTATTACAATATTTACATTTAAAAGCAACTCTTTCTTTATAATATGCCGATGATAAATTTTGAAAATGCAGATCTCATCTTTTTTATTTTATTTTGATTTTTTGATTGTAAAAAATTACAATGTCGAAAGTTTTTAAAACCTATTTTGTATTTAAGAATTAACATTGAAATTTGCCATTTAAAAACGTTTTAAATTTAAATCATAGTAAAAAAATCCTTGTTTAACCAAAGCTTCCATAATAACCATGTTACCAAGGGGAGATAATGTTATAGTGATAAAAGATGGCTTTTCCATCTCACTTAGAAATCGGTGTCACAATTTTGTAAATACTGTTAATTCAGAAACAGTTGCATGCACTTATTATTGTGATGGTTGAACAAAATTTTAAAAATCTCTGATAAATTATTGCAATTACAGAAAATGGTGCATACAAATAATGCTATCGAAATTTGAATTGCAAGGTTTTATTTTTGCAAAACAAATCCTGTTGCAATTTTTTGCAATAGTTCTGAATTACAGTAACAGGAAATTGGATGAATTGTTGCAATTTTTTCTCATTGATATTACAGTGAAATCAAATGTTAAAGCCAAAGCTGTAAGGTATTACAAAAAAGAAATCATTTCATTTAACTATCAAAAATATGCATGTAATCCCATTCAGTAATGTACGTACCGTTTTGTAAATGGTGAGGCATTATTTACCCCTGCAAAATAACCATAAAATTATAGAGGTTTTGGTATCATTTGGAAAATATTTACTTGTTGACATATTGTCCAAAATTAGGATATTAGTTCTACTAAAATGATCACTAAGGAGAAATGGCAAATTGAATCTATTTTTTAACTACTGCAAAATTTGTTAAGTTTGTTATGAAAACATGTATGGATGAAGTGACAGCAATCTTCAACTACATTTCTGCCATGACTGTATTTTCTAGTCATTCCTTCTGTTGAGTATTTGGTGTCTGGTACATTAAATTTCATTATCAGGAATACTGTTATTTTATTTAATGCCTTAAACAACTACTACTGTGTGGTGTTTAAAGACCTAGTCTACCCCATGGGATCTTGCATGTTCAGATGCCATGGACAGTTGCTTATTTAAATGTAAGAACATGAGACAGTGGTCAGTCATACAATTAAAGGGTACATGAGTGGTGGAAGATATCGAAGGGATATTCAAACTCGCAATAGGAAGACAAACTGACAACACCATGACCAAAAACAAACAACAGTCTACAAAACACAACATAAAAAACCCATGACTGAGCAACACAAACCACAGCAAAATTCGGGTTGATCTCAGATGCTCCAAACTTACAAAAAGACAAACGATCGTTATCTCACAAATGAGACAAAATGAGTTGACAATGCATGTACCACTGTTTGAAATGAAAAAGAAGGGATTCAAGACTCAAAATCCTTACACGCTTCATAAACAAAAGCAAGGATCAAGGCTTTTATTGCTGTTCTTTTGTCTCAAAGTTACAATGAGTCCTTCTACACACAACACATGCTCGCACCTCACTGCAAGTTCAAGATGTAATTACAAAATCCTATCCAGTGGCAAAACTCATAGTTAAGAAAAAGAGAAAACAGCTAATAATGTCATGAGGACAAAATTGGACAGACGGGATTTGTTACAATGTCTGGAATATGTATTTACACAGAGACATGCAATGAAAATTGAAGACAGTTTTAAAACAACACTTTTCTACTGTTATAGCTATAGTTTTAAAAAGTTGTCTTGATGTCTTTTAATAGTAATGGGTCAGAAAATATTTGCCCAAAAATACATGCAATTCAAATTGACGTTAAAAAGTCATGCCTTCTGTTTATTATCTGTAAAATCTAAATACCGTAGTTGAATGACTAATTGATTGATAGTTGGCTGTGCAGATTTTTTATCGTATTTACTGATGTAACTCTTTCATTTTGCCTTTGAAAAGAACATGCAAGGACTCTTAAGTATTTTCCCCCAACGAATTTTTAATGTGCAAAAAATGTACTTCAGTAACAAATTTTGAAATTTTGAAATTATGAATAATACACGAAGATTAAAGTTAAAAATGCATAAAACTTCATTCAATTACCTGGGGGGGGGGGGGGGGGGGGGGGGGGGAGTAAAGGATCAATCATATTCAAGATTCCTTGTGACATTGGAAATCTCAAAAATAAATTGGAACATGCGGGATAAAAGCTAAAGTTGCCTTTAAGAAGAAGGAAAAAAAATGTTTATCTAGGGCAAGTCACAAGTAATCAAAAAATGAGTTGATACTATGAACTTGATAGTCAATAAACTAGAGGCTCCAATGAACATGTATCCTTGACCTGGCAATTTTACATATAACTGATACAATGCAGCAAGGACATTTGTGTTGATTGGAAACTATGTAAGCTTTAATCTGGTCTCGCAAAACAGAGTTCCTGGTTATTTATTACGGGTTTCAAGGTTATATAAGTAAAAATGAAAGAACGGGTTAAAATTGAGACTTGTGAGCAAAAACTCCTGTAAGGAGTCGATTGACAGTTCATTCATATTGGCTTATTTGTAGATATTGTTTTCATTCTCAAAATTTTTCTCTATCTACCATTTCCCACAAAATATAACCATGGGTAAAAATCCTCATTTAGGTGCTGAGTG